TTATCAAGAATTTTTTTTTACTTATATTAAATTAGTGACATTGGTTAAATTAAATTTTGATATAGTGTTGAAATTAGAGAAGTTGATGTTGTGACATGAAATTTTTTTATTATTCAAGTTCCACAAATTAATTTGTAAAATCTTATTTATTTGTGGACTAATTGTGATTTGTTTGTATTTTTTTTTTTAGCCATAATATAAACCTATATTTTTAAATTTTATTTAGTATCCTGTAATTTTTTTTTGGTTCAAAACTGACAAAAACAATCTGTATAATCGCGTATTTGAACAGGATTGTGTATGTTACCAATCAAAGATAGTGGACAAATAATACTATACAAGCAAAAGAAAACTAGAAATGGAGAGAAGTTGCAATATTAGTATTCCTACATAAGCAAATCATTTAAAGATTTTTCCAACTACCAAACCAAAATGTACTCTTGGTTGTTTAATTGGTTTTTGATCTTTATCCAACTATAGCAATTTGCAAAGTCATCTAATTGCGTGTCTGTCATTTGTGTCTTTCTTTGAATTTGTCATGACGTCCGTGAACTAACACTTTTTTTCTTTCTAGAAAGGTAAGAAGTAAGATATATATTGACACCATGTGAAAATATTTCCATTTTTAGATTAGTTGAAGGCTACACAACAATCACCAGAAGCGATTTGATCTGTTTTTAGATGATGATGATCTTTTTTTCTTTTTTGACCAAAAAAAAAGATGATGAAGATCAATTTGATCTTTTCTCAAATTAAGATTCATTGATGGTAACATCTTAAGCCCAACCAATAAAGCTTTCCTTGGACCTAACTTAGATCTATGGCTTGGCCTAAACTAGCCCCATCACTTGTAGCGACCAACTTACATAGTTACATCTATATTTTCGATTAACGTATGATTCAGATCAAATCCGTGTACTTCGTATAGAAAAGTGGGAACAGAGTTAACTGACCCATATTGTTGTTGATTCTGAAAATGCTTATGTGGTTGTGTGATACTTTCCTTTGACCAAATTCATCATCTTTATTATGATCACGATCTCAGTGTAAACGCTACTTTACCCAAATGGGTGGCTCTTGAGCTACGGAACAATGGCTCCTAAACAAATAAGGTCTGTCCTTTTGACAATTGTTGGCGATAGCGACCAGCGACAGCGATTAACGAGTTGTTGTGTTGTTCGTTTTGCAGTCGGTGCAACTGATATGTTGTTTGTCTGGCTATCGCCGATTTGTTTTAGAATTCAAATTTTTAAAATTTTAATATATCATAAATTAATTTTTCAACAATAGTTAAATCATTTAATCAATATTTGTAATATGGCAAAATAC